CCCTCCCCCAAGCAGCCTCTGGTCCCCTGCCTGTCTCTCTCCCTCCCCCTCTTACCCTTGCTGTATGCCAACAGCCTTGATCTCCATTCTAGTTTTGGAGCACTGAACACAGCCACAGCCTGGCCCTGTAGCAGCAGCACACACAGGTGCTATGAGGCTGGTCAGGGGCCATGCTCAGTGACCAGACTAAAACGGAGGACAGAGCCTACCAGCATGGAGCAGAGGCTGACGGAAGGGGAGGGGAGGGGAAGGAGGTACAGAGGCTATAGGGGGCAAGCACAATCAGGAAACAAACTGTTTGACCTCCCCACACCATCTGCCTCCCCACTGCATGCTCCCCCTGCAGCAGTGGAAGGGATGAATTAAAAGATGACCCTCCAATAATAAGATTCTATACATGGAAAATTATGACAAATTTATAAGTTTTCTATGTACCAAATCTTATTATTGGAGGTTGTCTTGAATTCAAGGTCATCTTAGATTCAAATAAATGCGGTAATCCTGAATTTACATGTTCACTGTGCCCTCTGACCATGGGGAAAGAAGCAGTGCCCAGATATCTCACAGAAATTATGTTATCTTTCACAGGCGAGTTAGTTTTTGTTTCTTCACCAAAGTAACTAGACCTTGTGTACCTTTCCTGTTAGACTGAGTGCAAGGTATTTTCTACTCATTTCTTGTTAGGGCAAAATACTCTATGTTGTACAAGAGAAAAGGTATTCAATTCAGTTTTAAAATATTAATTCCTCTCAACATAATTCTTCTATTTCTGTTTTGCAGAACTCGCGTTATGTTGGAGAAAGCATTTAGACTAGAAATATTCTGTTTAACTGTTTTAACAAACACATGATTTCATTCTAGAAAAGTTAAAAGCTATAAATAAACCCCCATACTGTACCAGCTGTGTACTCCTGAATCTTATCAATCATCAGATCACCTTCTTTTAATTTTCTGGTCCATTTCTCTGAAATAAAAACATTTATTTTAGACAATGAAAGGAAACTGAAGAAAGAAAATTGAATTTAGTAGTAATGTGAAGATGTAAATGTTGTACCTGAAAGTGTTTTTATGGACTCTTTGCAGGAATCTCTTAGTACAAGAGTCTGATTGATCTGTTCACAACCACAGATGCTTTTGAACTTGGTCCAAAACTCTTTTATTTCTCTTTCAAAAAGAATCAGTTCATCTTCTGTTTTTATCTGGGACATAGTGCTACAGTAGGCATAAAAACATAACACAATATATAAGGCATAGCAGAAAAATCTTGAGAGAGGTTTTGGGGTTTTTTTTTTATCCCTGATACAGCCTAGTGCTTTAAATGCTGCTACCCTTAAGTTTTGGAACCTTTACTGTCAGGTTTTTTTTCAAAAAGTTAGGCCACAGTATTGAATATCATAGAGAACTATACCATGCACCACTACCCTAAAGCTTTACTGGCAAAACCCCATGCAGGTACTTGATTTTGTGTGCTGTGTATAGTCCTAAAAGGTCTTCACTGGAACCAATCACTGTACTCATACATTTCTACTGAATCAAGGCCCAAATTAACTTATGTTTTTCACACTAAATCAAAAACAGAGTTTTATAATAAACTACCTTAGATTAACGATAGAAGAGAAACCCAAATTCACATTTCAGGATCCTTAATTGCAGACAATGTACAAACCAGAAAGAATCCTGTTTCACTTTCAGATTTTAAGAAATTTATGGCAGTAGGAAGAGTGAAGAGGGAGGGGAAAAGGTTGTTGTTTTTTTTTTCTTTTCTACTTGTAAAAAGGTTGAACAGATTTGATATGTAATGAGATAAAGGCATGAAATACAGGACTCTAAAAAGCCACTTTTACATTCACTTTTCAGCTGTGAAGTGCTCAGAGCTGCACTTTGCAAAAGGGAGGACGCTTTAGCGGTCATCCCTTAACTTGAGCCCTCACATATCCAGTGCACTGAGTGTTTTGCCTGTCAAGTCCTACATATTTACTACTGTTCAGACTAAGTATGCTGCTTTAGCAATAAAATACATGTGCTGTGTGGCTTAACCCTGGTTATTTACCAGCAACGCGCCCCCCCCCCAACAACAAAAACCCCAAACCCAGCAGCACAGTTCTGAACACTCAAGGACAGGGAATTCAAGCCGGCTTTCTGTGAAAAACTGAATTGCATGAAACAGTGGAGTCCAGAATGGCTCGAGGTGTCACAATGCTGTTCACAAAGGGGTCGCTCTGTTTTTCAAATCAAATCCACCCTGACACAGACACGTTAAAAGTCAAATAGATTTAAATCACTGGTCAGGAAGCCTTGAGTTAATCATTTTCTACAAAAAAATGCATTCTTGTTATTTGATATCCTTTATCCATTTAATTTTTTGAAACTTTGCACTTCTATAGAAAGTGCAAGTCTTGATTGTGTATACATAAACTTGCAGAGACAATGGGGCTGATGAATGGGTAATTCGGTCTGTTCTCTCTCATCTCCATATACTGCCAACAAGGATGTTATGTCTGGAGACAACAACTTCTCCCTATACCTGAAGAAGGGCATTTGTGCCCAAACTCTTGCAAAGAACAATTTTCCAACTATTTAGTTGGACTAATAAAAGATACCACATTTACTCAAAGAACTTTGTTTGCCTATGATCTCTGGAGACAAATCCAGTGTGGGAACTGAAACTAAGCTTCACAGAGATGCTTAGTGGGAACTTCTGGACTGAGCACTGAGTCCCATTGGGTAGAGTGGTTTTCTTTAATCTTTACTCATCTACAGAGGAGCCTCTGGGAACCCCATAAGATCAGGCCCCTAATATCCTGTTGTGACCCATATATAAAACTTCTAAAAAGGTTACATTAAAATGTCGTCTCAGATAGTATATAATTAGAAGCCATAATCCCTATTCCATTATGATATCTCTGAGTGTTAACTTATTTTAAATTAAAACTATATAAGTTTTTTTAATAAAGTAGCTTAACAAAACAAGCCGGATTTAATTTTTTTTTTTTAAATCAGCTTTTTTAAGTTCTTCTTTAAAAATCGTTGATTTTTATCCACCCTGATCTACTGACTGCAGCCTCAAGGACGAGGAGACTGCATGGCCTGGTAGCTGCTGCTCTAGTGCCCTATTGTCTGTGCTCGCCAAGCTCAGGGCACCTCTGAGAAACGGGACAGGCACGTCCCCAGTTCCTGGGCCGGGCTGGACCCCGGCCCTGCCCTGGTTAGACTCCAGACGAAGCGGGACACGTCGGGCTGGCACAGCACCGGCGGCAGCGCCCCGGGGCGCGGTCCTGCGCCCGTCCCAGGGCACGTGCGGGGCTGGGAGCGACGTCCCCCGAGCCAGCGCACGGAGGGTCCCGGGGGCGGGCCGGCTCCAGCTCTCCCTGCGGGGACGGCTGGCCCCGTCCCCCCAGGCTCCACACCCCC